AGCCAAAGATGTTAGAATTGTGTCGATGTCCCAATATTTCTGGACCTGACTGTATATGGCTAGGAATTATCAGGGGATATAAGTTTGGGATGGCTGTTTTGTGGAAACTAAATATTCCAAGTATAGCAGCAAAACATTCCATTTATGAAGTGTTCTTAGATGTCAATAATTGGGGAAAACTGTAGGGTATATATAAGCATTTCAGGTTTACCAAATAATGTCATCACTATCACTATGATGGCAAAAACTATTATATTATTAAAATACAAAAAAAATCAAAATTGCAAAATATTTAGAAAAGTCCTTTGAGTAAATAATAATACATGAATCATTCATTTTCAGTCCTATGCTACTTTTCTGCAGGCATAGCTCTGTCAGCAAAGCTTGGAGTCAACTAACAGATGGAGCATTCAGCATGCTAAGGTGATTTATGCTTCATCCAAAAAACATCCATATAGATAAAACATGTCCTACTAACATGTACTACAAAAAAAGGGAAACAAAAGGAGCAATCCACTGCAGGTATCAAGAATGTCTTCCTGAAAGTAACAGGACTTAAGATAATTATGACTAGCTTTTTCTGATGATTTCTATAGGACTAATGCATCGCTAACTTAACTTGATTCAGTTCTGTGCTTACTATTCCATCCAAGCTTTAAATATTTTTTTTATGATTTCTCTGTAGATAAGAAAATAAAACTCACACATTTTAATAACAATTTCCCACTTGGTTTAAAACAATATTTTCTTTATACTAGACAATACTTTTACATTAAAATTCAAATCTTTAGACTTCTTGGACTTTTTCTGGTTAATATGATTTTTCATTCATTTTATCTTGAAATGTCAATCAACAGGCATTTTGCACAAGTTGCACAGCTGGCCAAGAGATACAGAAATCTATCCCATGGGGTAGAGGAAATATTTGTCTCTTGGAGTTTCCCTAATAATTGTTTGCATATGTATAACATGAGGTTATAGCAACTACAGAGAAAAATTACAGAATAGAAAACTAGCAGCTGCTCTTCAATCATTTGGGGAGACTGGATTATTTTTTTTTATAGTAAGAGTTAAATCTCCAGGGCATTGTATTTTATAATATAATAGTCCAAACTACAACCATCTATCAACTACTGCACTCATGTAACATATGTACTTGTACATCTATGAGAAAATCACATTTAAGCAATCTCTTTCCCATAAAAATCTAGTTCCAAAATGATAGGAGAAGTCAGAATGTAATTGGGCCTCGCCTACTTATGCAGGAAAATAAGAGAGAATTCTGAGATGGTAAAATGAATTGAGCCACATCTAGCTGTGGTCTCTCACGAATTAAAATCTTTGCAAATTAAAAAAAAACAGTATGTCATAGAGATATATTTGAAACCAGATAGCTATCTGTGCACAAATATTTTGATTTTTTTAAAACATAAATTCATATTCACATTCAAAAATGTGATTTTTTAAAAGTGTAAATCCACCAATCTGGAATGGAGCATTCCATCAATTTTTGCCACTACTATTATTTCAGTTTGCTGTGTGTAAATTGAGCATCAGTATAGCTTAGCCTTCTCCAATTCCCTGGCCTCCAAATGTGTTGGATTTCAGTTCTTATAAGGCTATGCTGGTTCTGCAGTAGGGTTATCTGCCTGATAAATCTGGAGGGCACTGGGTCGGGGAAGCTTCATACAGAGTTAAGACGTAGACATTTCTTGCTTCAAGACAGGGTTTCAGATCGCAGTGACTGGAGAGTACATTTCAAATTTTCTTCTATAGAAGTGGAAAAGACCAGATGGGTAAATAAAGAAGCAGATAAGCACAAATAATTTAACTATACTCTTTCATGTTTCAAGAGATAAATACATCTGTTCAAAGTTTGTTGGTTGCTTAAAAATTCAAGCACTGATTATTATTTCTGATGGTGCCAGAGTATAGCCCTATTCTCAGCACAGTGGAGAGTTCAGATCATTAGACTTACATTTAAGCTTCCATGTACAGTATGCTCAATTTCTACTAACTGTGATGAAGGTGTCTTAAATGTTACATTTTCTCCAGGGAATTTTTTGAAAAACAGATTCTGATCATGACATCATAGGATTTGCACAAGGAAATTTTACTGATTGATTGATTGATTGATTGATTGAGATTCAGTTCAAGCATGTTCAAATTAGGATCACAAACTGCCCTGTGCCTTAATGTGGATTGTTTAGTTTTGAATTAGCATAGTCACAATATATGAATTCAGTGAGAAAAACCACTTTGCAAGCAAATCAGGAAAGCATGTCTGCAAAATGTTCTTCATCTTCAACTTACCAGGCCACCAAAGTCATAGAGCCAGCAAGCTGACATGTTTTATTTTCTGGATTTACAATCACTGGGGAGAGCAGAAGCTGAGCATCTATCGTCACAACTGGTCTTGCTCTGAAAGGGGAGAAAAAGTAAAGCAAAACATGTTAAAAAAAAAAAAACAGAAGAGAAGACAAAATACTATTTTTCAGTTTCTATGGATGTTCATGACATCTAGGAATACGAAAAATATGAGTAACGCTTTATGTACACAATAAGCATTCAAAACACCAGTAGGGACATATGAACAAAATACCCATATCAAGCTTAGACAGATCTGTCTACAGGGATGATGCACAAAACTCTGCTTGTTTTGTGCATCATCAAATGTGTTCAATGTTAATGATTCACTCATGTCTGCACATATGATAGCATCTCTCTCTGATCTCTATCGATAGCAGTTAGCTAAATGCTCTACAGGAAAAGATGCAAAAGTAGGAGAACTTGTTACTAACTTGTTACTAAGATTTGAAGCAGCAGGGATTTATTTTTACAAATAAATAAAATGTATGCATCACATTCCAACAAAGTTCAAAGCCAAACCGTAAGGCTGCAGTTCCCAACTGTGTGCCACAATGCCTCAGGGTGCCTCGGCAAACTCACAGGATAACACAGTGATACCTGACATCTGTCAGACACCACACAAACTATGAGCCTAAGGGCACCATGAAAAATTACTGAGACACTAATGGCATTGTGAACTGAGAAAGTTTGGGAGCCTCTGCCATACGGTGTTACTTTATACAATTCTAACATGGCAAAATATAAAACAAAGTTAGTACAATCCAATGCATATTTACTCAGACATAAATCTAACTGAGTTTGAATGATATGCTGTAGATTACAGGCTTAAATCCATTAAATGGAAAAGAACAATTTTATCAAAAAGTACTTGATAGAGTGGATCACCTGAGACCAGTGGAATTTAAGTAAATCATGAAGTCAGCTGGAACCACCCTTTGATGTCACGCTGAATGACATCTGAGGAACAGAAAAACTACAATGTTGTGTTATAAAATAACTATTTTTAAACTAAGTGTCTGCAGTGATGTCTGATGTTTCTAAAGACAGGTTTGCAAATAAAAATTGCATCTCTCAGTAGTAATCCAGATATAGGCATCAAGTGTGAAATCCATAAGAACCATGGATTCCAAGGCCTACTTCCTACTTGCTGAGCTAGACAGTATGACCCAGCTGAAACAAGCAAACTTCATATTCTGAATTCTTTGTTCCCCTCTTTTTTGCTCACTTATCAGCTAAAAGCAGCAAATGCATGCTCACTATGTAAAAAATACATAATAATTCCCTACAACTTAGCACAGGGGGTCTCAAACTCAAATTGTCATGAGCGCCCATGAGGATCAGTTAATTAGCCCAAGAGCTGCAACACTGAAGCCTTTTCATCTATTGATACAAAAATCTTTAGCAATTAATACAAAATGAAGAAAATGAAGAATATTATGGTATGCCTTTAAATGCAAATTAATTAAAATTAAAACCTTGAATATACAACAGAGTTATTTCATATTGGCCATTTAGACTGTGGTGATGGATGTGTGGTGAGAGTTTACCTTCCTATTGCCATCAGAACTGGGGTATGGTGGATGGATCTTGCGTGAGCAGTGAAGGCACTGGCTCTGCGGAGAGAGTCCAGACCCGTTACAAAGTGGAAGCATGGAAACTCCAGACAGATGTATGTCTGCCTGTGATCCTACCAGAGCTGTGCCCAGCCCATTGCTCTGCACCAGGCTTGGGATCCTGCCACCATTCCCCATGCTGGCTCATCCTCTCTGCCTGAGGCAGTCTGAGAGGCTAAGGGAGCAAGGTCATCACAGCCAGAGCTTGCTCTTCCTTGCTTTGCTGATCCTGTCATCCTGCTCCTTGCTACTAGTGGTGGCTGATAGCTGAAAGCCACTGCTGCTGTCAAGGATTTTATTTTATTTATCATATTTATATAGCCACCAATCTCACAGACTGTGACTCTGGGTGGCTTACAATAAAAAACTATAAAATAGCAATATAAAAAAATCAACACAAACAATAATATATTATTAAAAAAGCAAGGAGAAAGCATCAGATCTTACAGACAATGGAGCCATCTCATTAACTCATCATTCCCTTGAGACCTTCAAGCCTGATGACACAACCAAGCCTTGAGGGAGTTGTGGAAAATTAACAGAGATGGGGCCAGCCTCACCTGGGGGGGGATGATGTTCAACAGGTGGGTGCCATGGCAGAAAAGGTCCGTTTCCTGGGTCCTGCCAGATGTAACTCCTTAACGATGGGACCTGTAACATACCTTTTCTGCCGGACTTGATGAGGCAGGCAGATGTAATTGGGAAGAGGCGGTCCCTCAAATAGCCTGGCCCTATGCCATGAAGGGCTTTAAAGATCAAACCAGCACCTTGAATTGGACCTGGAAGCAAACTGGCAACCAACGCAGAGGTGTAATGTGTGCCATTCTAGGGGACACGTAACTGCCCGTGCTGCCACATTCTGTTGAAGCTTCCAGATACTCTTCAAGGGCAGCCCCATGTAGACCACATTATGGTAATCCATCCAGGAGGCTACCAGAATATGAGTGACTGTGAGCAGAGCCTCCCGATTCAGGAACGGGCACAACTGGTGCACAACACAAAGCTGTGCAAAGGCCCTCCTAGCCATAAGTGCCACCTGCTCTTCGAGCAGGGGTTGTGAGTCTAGGAGAACCCTCAAGTTGCACACCAGGTCTGTTTGGGGCAGTGCAACTCTATTCAGTACCAAGGATAGCATAGTTACAGAACCAGCAGGCCCCCAAACCCAGAGCCATTCAGTCTTGCCAGTGTTCAGCTGAAGCTTGTTGTTCCCCATCCAAATCCCCAAAGCCTCCAGGCATCAGGCTGCAATGGTGGCCAAAGGACCACGTAAGTGGGAAAGAACAAATCCAAGCCCTGGCACCTTGATGTAGGGCTTGGAGTGTGGCGACTCCTTGGTCTGGCCTGGCCTAGCCTGCCCAGGTGCTGCACTGTTTCTTCTCAGTGTAAGGGAAGATCTGTTTTGCCTGGCTGTCAGCAATCTGTCAGCTGCTCTTCTGTGTGTGGTGTTTTTATTCTTCTGGACCATGGACAAGGTGGCACTCTTCCCCTGCCATTCCATCTGTGGAATTTGCTCGTGCCTTATTTGTTACACTTATTGATATTGGCAAGGAGGAATGTTACTTTCTTTTGGGGATATCCTCAGCCACAAAGATTCAAATTCCCTGCAGGGTTTCCTCTTTCCAAAGTATGATTGCAGGCTGCAGAAAATGACTTGGAGGGCCTAATATGTTCCACAGGTTTGAGAATCCTGTTCTGAAAGCAAGCACTGATTGATTTAGCTTACTTAAATGGCAGATGCTTGACTGTACCTTCTGGATAGCCAGTGCAGTAGTTTCTCAGATGTCATTTGGCGGGGGGGCCTTCTGAACCTTACATCCTCTAACTGGGCTTAGTTATTTGCTCTAAGAGTGCCACAACACCTATGGCTATCAGGCTAGCACTTACTCAAAGTCAATATGCAGGGTGACCAAAGCATATAGAGCAGTTAAATTCTACTGATTGAAGAGACCAAATTTTTAATGTGCATAAAACTAGGTCTCAACAGTGTAATGTTCTTTCTCAAACATACATACAGAGATATTTTGCTTTTTTAAAATCACATTTCATCTTGTGATTAATATGCGAGAAGAAAGGAACCTTTTTTCAGATTGTTCTATGGTATAAAGTAGATGATAGGTCTTAAGCCAAGTGGCCAAAAAGCCAAAAAGAAGAAGAAAGGTCATCACAGAAAGAGCAGCTGGAACAGGCATGGCTATAATAAGTGAATTAACTGTATTCCTTTCATTAACTCTTTTAGAAGAAAATTATGAAGAAGAAAGTGATAAGCAAGTATATGGTTCATTTTCCTTCCAAATCTATAAGCCTTAATAATAGCACAGAAAGCAGACTAAAAAAAGTAAATCTGGCAGAAAATAGTAGCAGTAGGTAAGTTCTTCCATGCACACAATGGTGAAAAATCAATTTAAATGTTAACTCATCAACATGATTTATTTTCAAATATACTGCAGTTTCAGACTGTAAACCTCCCTATTATATAACTGTATGTGCAATCATTGTTTGATGATTAGGCAGCCTTACAAATCCAATAAATGCAGTTGCATTACAAATATTCCAAAGTCATTGATGTGTTTCTACAAAAAAAAAGAAGTATTTGGAATGATATGAGCTAGGATACAGTTTGAAAGAATGGGCTTATGAAAGAAAGGATTTGCCATGGCAAAAACATTATACATATGTGGATTTTTTTATTAAAAAACTAAGGGTGGAGATAGTAGGAGTAGGAATTGCATACCTGTAAACAACTACTTTTCCAGCTCCAAATGCACCAACAATTAGATCTGTGGGGAAAACACACACACATATACTTAGAGGAACAGAGGGAATGTGGTTAGAATAGTAATTACAACTGATATTACTGATGCTGAAAATGAATGAAACTACTTAATGTACACTTATATTGTGGAAGCATAAAAATCCACAGAAACATTCCTTTTTCTAAATTTACTTCAATTTGGATTCCATTCTCATTTTTTTCATACTCCCCTCTCCCATTCCTGCGTGCACACACACTTTCAAACAAAAAAGTAAGTGACAATGACCCAGCTCCTGCTTAAGTATCAGAGTATCTTTTAGCCTTCTTCATTATATTGTAGCACTTCTTTTCCATGCCCACAATAATTATACATTTCAGTCAAACAAAGAAATCAGCCCACAAAAATCTCCTTGTGGTAGATTGTCTAGACCACTAAGTTGGCTAATACGTTGGCCCAAATGGAGGTTTGGATGTTGGAGAAGAATTTGGACAAAGATTTGTAAACCTAATAATGGATAGAAGACAATGTAAATATTAATAGTGCAGTATTCTTTGTGCTGAAATAATTAAATTGGTTTTAACATAATTATGTTTTATATAATTCCATCTCTTCTTACTATTCAAAAAAGGTACAGCATTTAATAAAACAATAATATTATTTAAAAATAATTATTAGGAATATTCAAAACATGCATCTTCATGCCTTTCATAAATGTGGACAGCTCCACAGAAAATTGACTGTTTTCCTTCTTTAGCTTGTTCTGGCTAAGAAATAGCTTTAAACATCCTGAGTGCCAAAATCATTAATGAGTTTTATAAACATTTTGAATTCTGCAAAAGAAAATAATCACAATCAAGTGTTCAAACTGTCTACATTATCAGAAGTTTGGCAGCACTGTTATCCTAAAAATAGATAAATGTTTTAGTGAACACTGTCGTATTTCTTCCTAGAAAATACCACAGACAGAATTTGCTAGCTGAAAGCAAAATGTTTGACACATGCAGCATATTTCAAACAAAATAAGAGATTATACTACTAGATTAAGTATCTAAATCTTTTCTAGCAAAACCTGAAGAAAAACTGCACACAATTTTAAAAAAATGATACTATTTCATTTTCTAAAGATTCAGCTTTTACTTATTTTAAAAAAGAACAAATCTTTGTGGCTTTGATTTAAAGGGAAAATCTATCAAAAACATTTTTAGAATACAGCTGAAATTCCACAGTGTTTTGCATTTGATATTCCATCTTTGAATTCCATGTGTGCATTTCCACTTCCTAAAAGAAGCAACCATGCAGAGAACAAGTAATGTTGATCATTACCTTCTATGGTTATGACTGAATCTTTAGAAAGTAATGAAATAACCATAGACACATTTCTAAAAAAAAGAGGGCTGCCAAGATCTCTAATACTTTGTAAAGATAAGGAAGACTTTTAATCATCTGTCTTGTCTCCCGCTGGTGAGTAAAGGATCAAAATTAGCAGTAATCCTGAGGGACCAATTGTTCTCTAAGGGCTATATTAGCCACAATTGTTTGGGGGGGAGGGTGTGCAATGATAAAACATCTATTCGCTAGCCTGGGCAGATGTTGTTACACCGAGTTTGATATAAACACCACTGTATTATTTTAAGATGTAACAGAAGTAAGAATTTAGCTTACTTTAGCTGTACTCAAAATAGTCAAACCCATTGCACACTGGAACCTAAAAAGATGCTAGTTTATCACGTCTATTGCTTCTTTGGATTTAGGCTATAGCAGTTATAACATATTCATTACAGTCTTCTGAAAACTGGAATTATATAGCACTTTCTATAGCTATAAATTTAAAGACAGACAGACAACGGGAAACAACTAAGCTATGAACTAGGTTGCATTGAGGCAGCTGCCAGCGACTGAGTCTGATCACTCGCTTGCAACCAGCATATACAAAACAGCTCTAATTCCTTGTTTGATTTCCTTTTCCATTCTATGTATCCTTGTTTTCAATAATGCTTCTGAATGGATTCCATAAGGGGAAAAAATGATCTCAACTGAAAACTTGGTAATTGTAGAACTGCTGGCATTTAGCTGACATACTCTCTTATCACTTCATATATTTCAAAACCCTGCTACTAAAATGCTGGAAGGTTTCCTGTTATACATCTTGATGCACTTAATAGATGAGCTATTAGGAATACTATTATTGAAGGAGGATTATTCTTTTATTAAGTACTTTTAGTTCCCATTAGCCACAGCTGTTGCTTTTGTATTGTTAGTCCAGCTAGGTAGCAGCACCTAGTTGATCTCGGTTGAACTTGAAAAGTCAAGGCAGGGTTAGACCTGTTAAAACTTGAGATCAACTGCAAATCCTGGGCCTATTGGCTAGATTAAGATTTAAAAAAAAAAGAAACTAAAAGAAGTGACAAACCACTTCTATATTGTTGCCAAGAAAACTACATGAATATGCCTATGAGGTCACCAGATGACAAGGCTAACCTTGTTTCAGATTGTTGTTTATTAATATATAAGCATATATATATTAATATATATATGCTTATATATATATTTTATATACATACAGTGGGGCAAAAAAGTATTTAGTCAGCCACCAATTGTGCAAGTTCTCCCA